TTCTTATTTTTTTAGTTTTTGATACATGATTCAAGCATATTTCTCATCCTTTCAATGGTAATGAACAAATATCGAAAGTGAGTGATTCATTATTTTCAATAATAAATTTCTTCAAATAGAAATTAATTTTTGTAGCTATTTAATGAAATGAAAGAGTAGTTTTCACAGTATTTCTGACTTTAATTGTGACTCTCTTTTAGCATTCCTCTATAATTTGGGCGGAAAATTGTTTCGACTTTAGGTCCTCATTGTTGAAGCGGAGGATATGGGGGAGTTTATATATATATATATATGGGAGAAGGAGCTTAGATGCTATATTATTTTAAAATTCTTAAAGTAGTTTTATATTTGCAGTATGGTTAAGGTGTGGTAAAATGGCTATATAATGAGTTTAAAACTGGCTCAAATTCTTCGAATTTAGAATTAAAGGGACAAAGTACGATTTATAAGAAAATACGTAATTTAACGATTTTCTCAAATTTTTTTTTTTTTTTTTGGTTAACTCTACGCATATGTTTTCTGAAAAATATAGTTTTGGGGCAGAAAGTACCACAAAAATCTAACCATTTAATATTTTGGGGAAAAACTTTAAAAGATCATCAAGTGACTTTAAAATGTTCCCCCTACAATAATTGGTGCAAAACGTGGAATTTCATTTACAAGTACTTCAAACGATGTGTTACAAATAATTAGTATGAGTTTTTTTGAAGTTATACTTCTTTTGGGGCGTTAGAGAAGTGGGATAAGGGTAAATTTTTACGATGCGAGCGCACACCGTCACGGATGTCACGCAAACCCCGTCACGGATGCGAAAGCGCTTTGCCTAGAAGTATACAGAACGGGACAAATCATTCCCGACTTCAAAATTCTGATAAAAATATTTCTCTTCACTTCCCTGAAGAGGGGGACACCTGGGTTTGAAACGGAGACCTCTCGACCTGCAGTCGAATGCTCTACCACGGAGCTATACACCCTGTGTCAGAGAGCCTTTGCTTTGCGTTCCGTAGGAACGGATACGAAAATGCTTTGTCTAGAAATATACAGAATGGAACAGATCTCATTCCCGCCTTCAAAATCCTCAAAAAAAAATTTTTTCTCTTCACTTCCCTGAAGAAGACTCCCGGGTTTGAACCGGGGAGCACTTGATCTGCAGTCGAATGCTCTATCACTGAGCTATACCCCTGCGTCAGTTAACTTTTGCTTTGCGTTCCGTAGGAACGGATACGAAAATGCTTTGATTAGAAAGATGCAGAACGGGACAGATCATTCCCGCCTTCGAATTTCTCCAAAAAATATTTCTCTTCACTTTCCTGAAGAAGGGAGCATCCGGGAATGAATCGGGGACCTCTCGATCTGCAGTCGAATGCTGCACCACTGAGCTATACCCCCGTGCCAGCGAAACCTTGCTTTGCGTTCCGTAGGAACGGATACGAAAATGCTTAGTCTAGAAATATTTAGAACGTGACAGATCGTTAACGCCTTCGACCCCCCTCCCCATATTATTGGTCCTACTGTCCCTGTGCGGGGTTGTTTAAATTTATTTAAATCGTGATTATCTCATGTTTGTCTGGTCCGATTGACTGAAGGTTTCGTTTAACTCTGCTCGTGACTGTCTTTTGTCCTTGGCCCAGCTTGCCCTGCAAAAGATTTTTATAAAGATTTTAATCTTGTTACGTCAAAGAAGTATAACTTCTTACACATAAGTACACACATCCTTTTTTTTCTGTAATCAGATTGAAATATGTAAAATGCTATTTTTTTCCCAATGCAAAGTGGAGCTTCCTTGAAAAATACATTAATTCTTAATACCTATAATTTAAAAAAATAAGTATTACCTTGATTCAAAAATGCGTACAAACTTTGTCCCAATACGCAGCACTGGTTAAAAAGAAATACCAAAGCATTAAGCACCAATGAAAAGAAAAGCATTTGAAATAGCGAAAAATTAGTGATATTTTCCTTTCTTAGATAAATCAGTTTAAAGTCTGTAGGTCTGATAGTTCAAAAGCAGGCATATTTATCTATAACGCCTCTTAAGTCTTCGCAACACCCTTTGGGTCAATTTTCGTAAGCCCCCTTTTGTACCGGATCTCTACTCCATGCCTAGAAAACTTTAAGCCTGTCGGTCTAATAGCTCAAAATCGAGAATATTTATCAGTAAGAGCTCGCAACGTCCTTTCGGGGTCGATTCAGGCAAAAACGGGAATCTTCTTTATGAATCGGCAATAGAGGGCTACCACACCATAAAACTCCCTTGATTGTATCGGGACTCGTTTCTGAGTCTTAGAGCGGTTTGCACCCCATTGTACACTTTCTTTTATAATATACCATAAAATCCGGCGAATAACGGCCTTTGAAGACAAAAAATAAGATCGAAACTTTAGGGTGCACGTTATACGCCGGGTGTAAAAACGATAGTTTTAAAAATAACAAAAGAGATGTGGGCATAAAAAAAAATTTACTTCTACATTTTTCGAAACAATGTTTATTTAAAAGAAACGACTTGCCTTTTAACCAAGAGAGTTTATGGCGTTAATTTATGATGCACTATGATTAAAATATGTTAAAAATGAAATATAAATTTACATCCTTTTCAGAAGGTGAAAATATTGAACATTTTTATTCCGCTCTCCTCCGTTATTATATTTTTATTTCCCTACCTGGTTCTACAGTTCTAAGGCAACTCATTAAATCCATCATATCATATATTTTTTTCATTGCCAGATACAACAGGGTAAAAGACTACTAATTTGAACTTAAAAATATAGGCATAAATTATTTCTCTAACTAATAGAACTAATTACACTTCTTCCAACGAAGTTTTCATTGAAAGATTAATAACATATCCACAATCTCATCTGCCGTCCTTCATCCTTCGACACCTGTTACTACAAGTTGTAGTTCTAGAAGTATACTATTTTTTCAACAGTCTGGGAAAATACCTGGAATAAATGACTAAAACATAAAAGCAATGCATACAAATATTTCAGGTCTCTTCGCAAAAAAAAGGGTGCGTGTTAAACGGCGAATATACCTAAAAATTAAAAAATTCAGCTTGAAAGTATAGGTACGTGTTATACGCTGGATATTACGGTACATAAATTCAGTGGGGCACAAAAATATTTTTCAAGGGGGAACGGTTCAGGTTTGAAAGTCCACCATTCTCGCATAATACCTCAATACGCCGCTAAGCGTATTCTTTTGATTTTGGGAACGAAACGTGGCCGCGGTAGCCGAGTGGTTCGGGTATCGGATCGTGGTCTGCCTTGTCACGAGTTCGAGCCCAATACCACTAAAGATCCGCCGTGTAGGGCAGCGATGCACTTTAAATCTGTCGAGAGCTGAAACTTCCTCCCGTTGGTGTGGTGAGGTATTTAGGAGAGAGGGTGACAGCTCAGGTGTCGTCCACGTCACTTCACCATGGTTCAGAATTACGTGGTCTGTCGCCAAAAGTCCTCGTGTAGCTGAACAGTGCAACGTTAATATTCGCTCACTCAGTGGGACGCAAAGAAGTCCGTGAGAGCTTTGTGCACGCCTGCTTTATTGGTGAAGCATTTACCATGAAGATGATTGTCCTGAGAATGGAAGAGGTGGTAATCTGATGGTGCAAAGTCAGGTGAGTAAGGGGGATGGCACAAATTCTCCCAACCAAATCACTGTATCGTATTCCTGGCCACCCACGCGACATGCGGCCTCGCGTTTTCATGCAATATTAGTACACCCTTTCGATTAACCAGTGCTGGCTCCTTCTGATCCAGTGCCTGTTGTACACCTTCCAATTGCTGCGAATACAGGTCCGCAGTGACTGTTTGGCTCGTTGGTAGCAACTCATTGTGAACCACCCTATGACAAGTCCGCTAGACACAAAGCATAATCTTGCGCTATGCGGAACAGTATCCTGGGGTGACAATCAATGTCTGGAACGCTTGTGTGTTATACAGAACCCACTTCTCGTCATTGGTCAGCACCCGATTGAATATGAATGGGCTACGGTGGCGAGAAAACAGGCAACGATAAACGAGCTGCCTGCCACTCGTTGTTGCTTATGGACTTCCAACAGCGTGTAAGGAACCCACTTGCTCAGCCTGTTCGATTTACCTAAGCGGTGCAGATGAAGTCTAACCGTTTTACTGGAAATGTTAAATTGTCTGGCAAGTTCACCACACGTTTTACTACTGTCCTCCTCAATGACCGGCTGCAGGGCTTCGTCATCCAAGGCCTCTCGTCGTCCTATTCGAGCTTTATCATAGAGGGACAAATCTCCCTCTGCCTCCTAACAGAGGGACAAATCTCCCTTTGCCTCCTAACAGAGGGACTGAATTTTTGAAACCAATGCTTTGCCTTACGTTCATTGACAACACTATCCCCAAACGCTTGACATATTCGGTGACTTGATGCAGCGGCTGATAAGCCTACTTTGAAGTTGTAAAGTAAACAACCCCAATTGAGCTCCTTCGATACGCGTCCATTTCGCTTCGCTACTCTACGAGTTCCGATTGATGAATGTGAGCAGTGGACCTGCGTTTATAACAACTGATATTCCTACATTCAACTAACGATTTCCCAATCACGTCTCTCTCACACACATACACGAATTTTCATACTTATTCCCACTTCTTTCATTGGAAACGAGCAAACAGCACGAACTCTTTTTGTTTACCTTGTAAATTTGCACATTGGTTTTCCTTTTCAGGTATCTTCCTCGTCACTTGATCTTGGTTGAAAATTAAAAAGAACGTTGTCAATTGTCCTCGTGTTCCATGAATGTGCAACGTTATTAACAGTAGAACGTTCCGGATTTCGATTCCTCTTAAACGTCCGCCAGTGTCGTTTCGACACCACAATATAAAATAATTGTAATTACTAAATAATTTCAGTACTACTGTTCATATTAGGGTTTAGTTTTAAGACTTTTTAGTAATATTCCATGTAAATATCAGACCTTATCTACCAATCATCTTTTTAGAATGTCTTCTCTGCACAAGGTTCGAATCTCAAAAAGAATTTTTTTTTACGAGCAGATAAGCAAATGATATGTAGCAAAACACTTAGGCACAACGATTTTAGTATAACTGACTCACTTCCGCTGTGAATAAAATTGCACTATATTCAAGGTCAAATAAATGTACGATATTACTTCTGGAAGTTTAATGTATAAATATTGTCCACTTAACGAACTATCTTTGCTGAACGACAGCTATTTATAATGGCAAATTCGCTTGGTGTCAAAACGACACCAGCGGAAGTTCTATAAGTATATTTAGTTGTGTTAAATCTCTCCTATTTAACCTAGAACCACAAAACTTTTTTCTGTGTAATCGCCATGAACCATGATTAAAAGTCACAAACTTCCTGCAAAAATGCAGAAGGAAGAACAAACTAAACAGGCTCCGGTGTCCACTGCACACTGAAGGACGTTCCAGTATTAAGCAATCAATTATAGTACAGCGAAATTTTCTTAGGACATTCTACGTTAATTTTAAATCTGAGAATAACAATCTAATGATAATTTTAAAAAATGTTTCAGGTAAGAAATAATGAATAGGAGTTGTTCTAGATTAAAAGGAACATCAGCATGGATCTCTTATGCTTAGAAGTATCCTACGAATGAAACGGCCTAGACTATAATTAAATCATTTTTAGAGGTGGGTTTCTGAAATGCATGGCTTAATTTTAACTGCACCAGAACTTTCTGAAATCACACACACACAGTTATTCTCTACACTACTCATTGGTTAAAATCAAGAAAAGTAATATAATCTAACCATTTAAAATAAAGGAATGTTTAAAAAAACTGATTCTTCGTTTATTATAAAAAATTTTCACAACGAAACGGTATTTTACTACTTATTTTTGGTGAAATATGTTCACTCTCCATCGATCAGTTAAGTCAAAGAAATAAAAAAATATGTGTACTTATGTACGCACGTAAGTTGGCGTAACAAATTAAAATCCTTCTAAAATCTTTATCAGGGCTTAAGCTGGGCCAGGACGAGGCAGTCACGAGCAGTGAGACGATACCCCAACCTTCTAAGTCTCAATCCGGACAAGCCAAAGCCTGAGATAATCACGATTTAAATAAATTTAAACACCTCTCAGGAACAATAGGACAAATAATATGGGAGGGATCGAGAAGGCGGGAATGATCACCAACCGTTCTGCATATTTCTAGACATAGCATTTTCGTATCCGTTCCTACGGAACACAAAGCAAAGGTTCGCTGACGCGGGTAAATAGCTGAGTGGTAGAGCATTCGACTGCGCATCGAGAGGTCCCGGTTCAAATCCGGATGCTCCCTTCTTCAAGGAAGTGACGAGAAATATTTTTTGAAATTCGAAGGTGAGAATGATCTGTCCCATTTTGCATATTTCTAATCAAAGCATTTTCGT